ATGCATGGGAATGCTGGGTGCTGCTGCGGGAGGTGCACCGGTCGGCAGCAGCAGCAGCAGCAGCAGCAGCAGCAGCACATGCGCATGCACAAGCTTTCCGTTCATCGCTATATGAGACTGTTGCTGCTTCGCTTGGGCGAGCTGAAGAGACAAACGCCAAAGCAGCAGCAGCAGCAGCAGCGGCAACTGCAGCAGCAGCATCGCTGCTACCTCTTCCAGTAGCAGCCCCAACAACAACAGCGCCAGCAGCAGCAGAAGCAGCAGCAGCAGCAGCAGCAGCAGCTCAACCGAAGCCGCTGCTGAAAGGCGGCCGCCGGGGTCAATGCAGTAGAGGGCCCCACCCTAACCCCCAACGCAGCTGTGCTGCTGCTGCTGCTGCTGTTTCCCACTGCAGCGCAGCAGCAGCAGCAACAGCAGCAGAGGCAGAAACAGCAGCGGGGGCAACAGAAACCGCAGCAGGTCCCGAAGCAGCAGCAGCTGCTGCTGCTGCTACTGTTGCTGCTTCGTCATCAGTTCCTGCTGCAGCAAACGGAGCTACTGCTGCAGTGCTGCAGACAGCTTTGGGGGGATTTCAATATAATAAAACACTTAACTCCGTAGAAAACAAAAACACAGAAGTGCAGCAGAACAGCTGCAGCAGCAGCAGCAGCAGCAGCAACAGCAGCAGCAGCAGCAGCAGAATGAAGGATGATGGCCCCAGCGGTCCTCTCTCAACCCTCACAGGCTACTCGTTGCATCTACACCAGCAGCAGCAAATACTGCAGCAGCAGCAGCAAATGCTGCAGCAGCAGCAGCAAACACTGCAACAACTGCAACCAGCGCAGCAAATGCATGCATGCCCGCTGCAGATGGGGCCGCAGCAGCAGCAGCAGCAACATCTCCTGTTACAACAGCAACTACAGCAGCAGCTGTTGCAGCAGCAGCAGCAACACCCAGAGATGCAGCAGCTGCAGCAGCTGCAGCGGCTGCAGCAACTGCAAGGCCAGCAGCAGCTGTTATACCCGCAGGAGCAGCAACAGCAACTGGGTGAAGGTCTTTGCAGCGAGTCACAGAGCGCAGCATCTCCAGCAGCAACGCCAGCAGCAGCAGCAGCAGCAGCAGCAGCGGCAGCAGCAGCAGCAGCAGCAGGGACAAGAACGCATGCGCCGTCAACAGCATTCGCTCAGTATGGCGGCTTTGGCGGAAACAATTGCTGCATGCGGGAGGCCCCCTGTGTATCGATGTTTAATGTTGCTGCAGCACAGCAGCAACAGCAGCAGCAGCAGCAGCAGCAACAGCAACAGCAGCTGCTGCAGCGACAGCTTCTTGCTGCAGCAGCTGATGCTGGCACCCAGCAGCAGCAGGTTCTGTGGGCACAGCCCAGCTGCACCTTCTCATCGAAGAAGCAGCAAATGCAGCAGCAGATGCAGCACCGACTGCAACTGCAGCAGAAGATACAGCAGCAGATGCAGCAGCTGCAGCAACAGCAGCACGAGCACCCTAACCCCTTTCAGCAGCTGAATGTGCCGCTTCCACATGAAGCACATGAGCAGCCAAGGCAGGGCCAGCAGCAGCAGCAACAGCAGCAGCAGCAGCAGCAGCAGCAACAGCAGCAGCCGCAATCAAATGCTTCCATGTGGGGCGGAGCGAATTCGGGGCTTGGCTGCAGCGCGTTGCTGCCTAATTGTTGCGATCACCGCTTAGAACATTCTGCTGCTGCTGCTGCTGCAGCAACAGCAGCAGCAGCAGCAGCAGCAGCAACGAGTGGTGAGCAGCAGCAGAGGAAGACGAAGAAAGACGGCTCAAATGCTGCTCCTGTCTGCCGCGTTTATCTGCAGAAACGCGAAATGAAGCTTCCAGGCCTCAAGGCAGCAGCAGCAACAGCTGTTGCTGCTGCTGGTGCTGCTGCTGGTGCTGCTGCTGGGAGACAGACACGGGAAAGAGGAATGAAAGCGAAG